TCAGGACAGCTCCGGCCTTCACCCTTCACCCCCTGCAAGTGTTTCCAATCTACCTCCTCCGGTGAGACCTTCCTGGCTATCTACCCCCTCTCAAGTCACAACTACTTCCAGCACCTGCTGTGCCAGCACCCCTGGCATGCTGGGTATTTAGCTTGGCTCCTGGCCACCCCACCCACCGTTCCCCACTCCACCCCACCTCCCCACCTTCACACTCCCGATGGTCTAGAACAGCGCCTCCATAGACCTGCAAGGGACTCCATAAACCACGCTGAAGCATGAATGCATTGCTCTGGGGACTGATGTGAAACCACTTCGTCAAGGCGGGTGGGAGGGAGCGCCAGAAGCAGAGAGAACAGCATGCTCAGCGGCCTGGGAAAGATGGCACCGGGGAGCTAGAGAGGTCCAAAGTGATTCTGGGGACCCAAGGCAGAGCAGGCAGGGCCCTGTAGACTGGGGATGGACTTTGGTCTACTTCAAATAGCACCAGGAAGCCATTAACCTAGGGAATGACAAGAACAAGGGAGTCTTTCACATACCTCCCGCTTTGCTGTGAGACAGACTGGAAGAAGTCAGGTGACCAGCTAGTGCAGGAAGGAAGCCCGAGAGGGCCTTAGCTCAGATTACAGCTGACCTCACCTTGGGCTGAGGCACCAGAAGCAGATGACAGAAATATTCATGGGGTCAAGTCAACAGGTCTGAACCACTGTTCACCAAAGAAAGAAAGGGAAAGGGCACCAATCTATTTTATGTGTGGGCTGGAGGAACAGCGACACCAATCCGTCAGTGAAGGGGTGGCAGAGGAGAACATGAGAAGGTGATCTAGAGCACAGGTGGGGAACACTGGATTGAGATCACCAAGCGGACATCTCCAGAGGACAGTCAGATGTCCAGGCGAGAGTGACCAGAGGGAGGGGAAAAGGTGCACTGAGTCATGCAACAGTGTGGATTTGTACCTTGAGGCTCACAGGCTCACAGAAAAGACTGGTGATTCTGAAAACTCACCCTGGCCAGCAAGCGGAATGATAAGGAATGTATAGACAGGCTGGAGGGAGGCCAGAGAGGCTGAGCAAGGTCTGGAGCTGTGGAGAGGAAAGAACACTCTCTTTTGTCACCAACTCTCACACACAGTTACTGGAGATTCTGCTAAAATAAAAGCCCCGATCATGTAGGTCCCCTTGCTGAAGACAAGAGCCACACTCCCTGGGACCATCTGTGATTTCATATTCTTTTCCAACAGGGATTGAACTCAGGACCTCATGCCTGCCAGGCAGGTGCCGGGTCCCTGAGCTACATCCCCAGCCCCAATTCCATTTTCTGACCACCTCTGCAGGATTCTCTCTTGCCCTGCTTCAATCCCAATGCCTGCCCTAGGCTATGTGCTTCCGTCCGGCAATCTCTTGTGCATCTGCTCAAGACTCACTTCTTGCACTGTGACGGCAGTGGGCAGCAGGCCTGGCAGCCACAGGGAGGCCCCTATGTTCTCCTGTTGACATAAACAACCTTGCAGAACGCCAACACGACGGCACTCTGTATCATTGAGAAAGTGACACAAAACAGGGCCACTTCACAACTCTGTCTAAGCACACATAAAAACCAGGTCACTGTGCCACCCAAAAATACCAAACACCGCTCTCTCCACACTGAAGTAACTGTGGCTTCTTTGTGATTTAGCTTCAATCTTACTCTGGCCAAACCTCCTTCCATAAAAGATTGAGGGGGCCACAGTTTGGACCCCACCTCCTCTTGGTCAGGTGCAGGTACAGTGGATCCAAGGCAGAGAAGAGAGCTGACCAGGGGCACCACATGCTAGGCATAGTGAAGTGGGGAGCTAAGTCTGTCTTGTGCTGCTGTAACAAAATATCTGTGGCTGGATGTGTTATAAAGTAAAGGGGTTCATTTTTCTTCCAAATTGGGTAATTGTAAAGTTAAAGCAAAGCCCCCCACCCCAGCTGCATCAGAATAATGTGGAGAAGCACACAGAGAAGAGGGCTTGTACAAAAGAAAGCAAGGGGAAGTGCCAGTCTTGTTTATAGCAGCCCACACTCCCAGTAATCAATCAAGTGCTACATATTCAGCGACTTCCAACTGGAGGGAAATCAAAACTAATAATGTATTCAGGACTTTCACCTTGGGCCAGTCCTGTGCTAGGAGCTTTGTAGCAACTGTCTTGTTTAATCCTCACACCGGAAAGATGGGTTACCCTTGTTAGCTCCATTTTAAAGGTAAAAAGACTGAGGCAAATAGCAGAGCAATTTGCCCATAATCCCTGCAAGGTATCTATCATACCACAGCTCAGAACAAGATTCAAGAGTTTAATGCGTTAAAGTGAAGATTTTACTCACAATACTGCACACACAGAAAGACAATGAATATGGAGTGTTAGGGTCTTTAAGAGGAATTAAGGCACTTCTTTTTGTTTGTTTGTTTTTTAAGACAGCATCTTGCTATGCAATTCATTTCTTAAAAAATTAACTTCTGGGGCCAGGGATTTAGCTCAGCAGTTCGGTGGCCTGCCTTGCAAGCGCAAGGACCCGAGTTCAATCCCCAGTACAAAAAAAAATTAACTTCTGGAAAGCCGGGCATGGTGGCACACACCTGTAAAATCCCACAGCACTCGGGAGGCTGAGGCAGGAGGATCACTGTAAGTTGGAGACCAGCCTGGGCTACATAGTGAGTTCCAGGTCAATCTCTACTACATAGTGAGACCCTGTCTCAAAAAACAAATTTTTTTTAAAAAAAAAAAAAAAAAAAAAAAAAAAAAAAAAAATTAACTTCTGGGGCCGGGGATTTGGCTGAGTGATTCCACAACCTGCCTCACATATGCAAGGGCCGGAGTTCAATCCCTGATACCAAAAAAACAAAAAACAAAAAACAAAAACAACAAATTAACTTCTGGGTCCTCATATTCCTTTGGCATGTTTTTTCAAAGGAAAACCCAATGCAAAAAGCTTTGATGAAATGCACCCAGATGGCAAACACCTGTGGTCTCCATAACCCAGGGCTTATCCCAGAACATTTCCATTCAAGGGTCTAATGTAGACTCTGAACATCTGTATTTTAAAAAAGCCCCTAGGCTCTACAGATGTGCAGTCTGGTTGGGAACTAGCGCTTCACAGTCTATGCAGCGCCACACTAACCTTCCCCTGTGCCATCTTGACACAGCCTCAGAAAACTGAGGCAGGAGGATGAAACTATAAAACTGTCCAACAGAGATGGACATGCTCCAGCTATACTATTTCGCTGTTCTTTATATCTGAACTATTTTATAGTTCATTTACTTCTTTCAAGCAAGTTTGCAAAAAATTACCAAGATTTGTTAAATTACACTAAACCTAATGGCTATGAAAATAATTCAATGCAATTTTTTTACCGACAGCACTCAATTTGAGGAAAAAAATTTTTTTCTGATTTAACAGTGCTATAGATGCTATCAACAGCAACTGAAAGCTGAAGAATGACGGCAAGAGCAAACCTTTAAATTCACACATCAGGCACTGCCGCTAAGCCTGTGCTACTCACATATGCCTTTAGTCAACCACCACTAACATCTACTACATCCAGTTATTGTTCTAAGTGTTCCATTAATATTAAGAACCATTGAAGCTCAGCACAGTAGTGCACACCTGTAATCCCAGCACCCTGGAAGGCTGAGGTAGGAGGATTCTAAATTCGCACTCACCCTGGGCAATTTAGTGACTTAGCAAGATCCTGTCTCAAAAAATAAAAAGGGCTGAAAAATGTAGCTCAGTACGGAGGAGGCCATGGGTTCAATCACAAGTACCACAAAGAATTAATCAAATATTGTTGAATCTTCAAACCCATCTAGGAAATGGGCATTATCCCTATTTTACAGATCAGAAAACTGAAGAACAAAATGTGTTTGGAAATTGTTTACACAGCTAATAAGTGGAAAGAAGCACTGAAGAAGCTGAGGCAGGACTGCCACAAGTTTGAGGCCACCCTAAACTGCATAGGGAGACCACCTCAAAAAAAAACAACTAAATAAATAAACAGCAGGGGTCCCGGTGGACAGGGTCTGAGTCCAGAGCTTATTCTCTGAATCGCCGTGTTTAGTCTCCAAGAACCTACCAAAAGTGCAAGGCCTCAACTAAAACTGGTATTCCCCACTGTACAATCCCTCCCTGGCCCTAGGAGACATCTCCCACTTCCAGGGTATTCTTTCAGTTACTCTTAACAGTCCCTACCCCTCCCCTGCTCTGTCTTAACACTCCTACAGCCCCATTTTTCAAAGGGCTTGTCTTCTCAGCTTAAACTCCACTAACTAATTTTAATGGCATGTTGTGTCTCCAAGATTGCAACATGAATTTTTAATTATGTATTTCACAGGTTAGTATTTGTTCCCCATCCTTCCCGACTTGGCTGTGAGTTCCAGTATGCCCCACACCGTGTCCGTCCTGGACATCATGTACAATATTCCCAATCACTGCACAGAGCAATCTCCCAATAAATTTGTTGAATGTGTGGGTCTTCACAAGCCTAGTGGTTTCTTTAGGGCCCTGGCCATGCCCCCACCACACCTGCTACTGCACTAATGGGCGGCGAGTGGTAGTGGCTCTGTAAATAAACATTATGCTTATGCAAATAAACATTATGTATTCTAGAAGGGTCATCTCTCCTTTAAGGGCCTGAGTTACAGGTGCACAATGCGAATCATGCCACCCCAACAGAATTTAATCTAAGAAGGTATAATCTGCACTTCCGAAACCCATCAAGGCTGTGATTAGTATCTGCAACGCCACTGTCTTTCCCGCAAGACTTCATCTCCTAGAAAGCCTAGACTCCATTCGTGGTACCCCAGACTCCACAAGCCAGGCACACGGCGCTGCCGAGAGTCCCTACTCCTCCCCTGAATGCCTGAATGAATGAACCCCCGCCCAGTGCTCTTCACAGGTGTGAAGCGAAGACCGCTGGAACTGGGTGTGGTATTCTTCTCGGGGGCCCAAAAACGTCCCTCGGACACAGGCCGGCCTCCACCTCACCTCTTGCACACAGACGCATCTTCGCAGGTGCCGCGCACGCCCTCATCGTCCGTGCCGCGGCTGGCCGAGGAAGGAGAGGCGAAAGGGGACGACTCCCTCTGGCTAGCGGCCATGGGCGTGGAGGTTTCGGGATACCGTGCCCACCAGGGACAGGGAAACCGGGCTGACAGGCAGAGGCTGCGGCAGCAAGCCACAGCGAAACGGGGCGAAGGGGCTGAACACCACCGACTCTGCGGGAGCGGTTTAGGGACACCGCCCCCGCGAGGGCCTCAGCAACCTTCCGGCTGATTGGCGCCTCTGCTGAGAAGCTTATTGGACATCTTCCCCGCCCCCTCCGACAACGGAGCTGTTCATTGGGAGGCTGATCTAGTTCCGCCCATACGACCCGGAAGTTTACAGGGGGCAAGGAACATGAAAACGACCTAAGAGTAACGCAATGCTTTATCGGAAGTGTAATCGTAGATGCTTCGGGAGACCGTCCGGTTTGTTACCACTGGCCAAGAACTTTTATAAACATTATAAAATTATAATATTAATATAATTATAATTAATTAAATCAGGCCTAAGAACTAACAGCAGGCTCTTTAGTACTGGGGAGAAAGGTATAAGTTGTTAAATTTCGGTCGGGGTTCAGTGTTATTCAATTTAATAAATTTTTAAGGGGAGCTGACTCGTTAGGTCCTGTTCTAAGGACCTTGTACATAAAATCTTTGAAGTGTTGTGAAGGAGGTATTACATAGAAAACCAATACAATGGGAAATACATAACAATGAAAAAATTAGAGCTACCGAGTGCAAGCATCAATGTCTGAATTTCAGAAATAACGCATTTCAGTGACAGAAAGACATTTACCGATTTAATAAAGTTCAAACCAAGCAAAATCAATGTTGCTTAGAGAAACAGGTATTTGATGAAATATGCAGAAAAGCAAAGGAATGAGGAGGGAGAAACAGGAATCAGGATACTGGTGACCTCTTAGTGGGTTATAGGTGGGCAGTGGAAGGGACTAGAAAAGGAATTCATAGATGCTTCTTCAGTATCTCAAATGGGAATGGGTCTGCACATATTTGTTTCATTATTATTCATAATATATTCAAAATGTTCACTATGGACATTTTATGCTGGATTTATTGCATAATCTTTGTTAAGTTAAAATATATGCTTGTATATTTTGTTTTACCTGTCTTATGTTGGGAGTAGGGAAGGGATATACACAAACTTCAAGAACTTTGAATAGTACCATTTTTTTAAAAAGTAAAATAGTTCTTGGGATGTACTTCAAATACAAGCTCCAGTACTACAAAACAAAACAGGGCCAAGGATTTAGCTCAGTGGTTCCACTGCATGCCCAGCAAATGCAAGGACGGGAGTTAGATTCCCCAGTTATTTATTTATTTAAAAAATACAGTAGTCCTTGGGCCTGTAATCCCAGTTGATTGGGAGGCTGAGGCAGGAGAATCACTTGAGCCCACAGGAATAGGAGGCCAGCCTGGACAACATCACATTTTGTCTCAAAAAAATTTTAAAAGAAACTCAGGATACACATCTTGGGTCACGTGCAGATATGCCATGCTTCCTTAGTATTCAGTTAAGACACAAGTGCACATTGATACCCAAGATAGAGATGCCTGCGGGATCGGAATGTAAACGTTAATACCAGAGTGACTTCCCAGGCAAAGAGAAGGAAAGTAGAATCTAGCCCCCCTCCAAAAGGAACTTTATTTTAAGTTCTATGCAACTTGTACTTTTTTTTTTTCTTTTGGTACCAGGAATTGAACTCAGGAACTTGCACTTAACTCATCGTGAAAACTAAAAGCATTACAAACACTGCTCGAGGTATCCTTTGAGCACAGCTTCCTATCCCATCCACAGCCACCCTCACAAGAGGCCACCCCAGCCCTTAAAAGCATTGGAAAAATGAAAGCGTTATGAATATTTTATGAAAATGAAAGAGATGAAAATTGAAAACAAAGGTGAGTTTTTTCGAAAGGCACTTTCGAAACACAGTGGGTGTTTCTTTAAACATCTCTAACTTGAAAAATCTTCCATCCCAACTCTAGTACATGCCAGGTGACATCAGCAGATGTGTATATGTAGGAAGGCAAGCGATCTGAAACTAGTGAAAGAGGCTGGCCAGCCCACTAGGTTCAAGTCCAGCTAGGTTCATAAAACGGAGACGCACCTCTTTTCCTGTTGGGTTTGGATCCTGGGGACTTTTGCAAACTTTGTGGTACCTTTGTAGATCGGTTCTTCTCTCCCACAGAATCCAGAGGTTTCTTATCACAAGGAGAAAGGTTTGTTGGTGGAGTAGATGAATGAGATTCTATTTCTAGAAACTGAACAAAATGTCTGAAAAAAAGCTCTTAAGGGGCCAGAGATTTAGCTCAGTGGTATCACTGCCTGCCTCACAAGCTCAAGGTCCCGAGTTTGATCCCTGATACAAAAAAAAAAGAACTCTTAAGCAGAGATTGCTGATTGGGCTTTTGGGCTTTAGAAGGTGTGGGGCCGCCTCCATGCCACCTGCTCCTCCACCTGGCTGCATCACCTTGGTCTTCATGAGACAACCGCTCTGCTTCCTCCTTGGGAAACCCACCATGCATCCCACTAATCATAAGGCTTCCTGTTGCTCTCACATTGTGATGCTTGAAGGTATCCAAGGAAGGGAGTTTTAATTAAGGCTTTGTCTGCTTTTCCTTCTGCGCTGTGTGCAAAGTTCATTAGCCTTTTTTTTTTCTTTGTACATCAACCAGCACTTCCTGCCAGAACTCATTTTTTTTTAATGGTAGCAAGGTTTTATTTGTAAAGATAGAAGAAAAGAAACCTGCTCTGTACAGTGAGTTTGGGCTAAGTAAAAGTAAGAAAAAGTACACTCTTGAAATTCATCGATCTGTTCTTCCTTCACATCCAAGACAAATACACTGGGCCGGAACTTGCAATCTTCCTGCCTCAGCCTCCCAGAGTGCTGGGGTTACAGGCCATGGCCACTGTGCACATCCTCATTTTCATCTACTTTATTAGTGAGATTTTACCTCGGAGAATGTAATGGACCATTTTGGCTTTGAAGGCAATATCTTTTCCCTTGAACAACTTTTGGAGAACATTTCGTTTCTCTTTTGGCTGTTTACTTTCCGAATTCATTTGTCTACATTCTCCTTCCAGTCTGAGGTGGCAGCAGTCAAATCGGACACTCTCTGGTTGTCTTCTGTGTTGTTTTCCTGTGGTGATTTTCTCAGCTCTTCAAAGTCTTTTTGGCACAGGCATTTGGAAGCTTTGGCTCTTACATCAGATTTCCCTGCCTCCAGAGATTTCACTCAAAGTGAAGACAATTTTGAGTCCATGGAAAGCTGGGGTACAATATTGGGCTATCCTGAGAGCCTGCCCTCGGTGTTACAGAGCTGCTGTGTGGTGTTCTGAACTTGAGCCAATTACTGCACCAACTTCTTGGGTTTGGTTTTATTGCCTTCGTAATATTGGGTCAGGTCGGCATAGTTCACCTTAGGTTCAAATTATGATCAGTGTCTATTACCATCTATGTCTGAATCTGCTGCAGTTCTCAAAATAGGGCTCTCATGCTGTGCATTTGGTACCTGCTATTTCCATTCTTTTATTTTATTAACTTGCTGCTTTAATTTATTATGTTCCTCTAAAAGCACCTTCAAAATAACTCCCGTTAATACCTCCAGTCTCACTGGCAGTGTTGGATGCTTGTAAAATCTGACACTTCTTACTCAATGCATCTATTTCCATGTCTTTCTCTCCAGTGAGCTATGATCAATTCTGCATCATTTTTCTAAACATGTCCTGACCACTACTTGTCTCCTAGGCAACTGTTCCTCTTCACCCTGCAGCTTGACCAGGACTACTTCTTTGGTACCAACCATGCTTATCACTTGATGATATGTTCTTTTTATTTTTTTTAATTTAATTTAATTTATTTCTTTATTTATTTTTGGTTTTTTGAGACAGGGTCTATGTAGTTGAGACTGACCTGGAACTCACTATGTAACCCAGGCTGGTCTCGAACTCACAGTGATCCTCCTGCCTCAGCCTCCTGAGTGCTGGGATTACAGACATGTGCCACCACGCCCAGTTGATATGTTCTTTTCAGATTGTTATTTTCCCTACTCTTCTCATTCCTAACAACTGAGTGTGTCCTGGTTAGGTAATGTTCAGGTAGTGTGAAGATCCTGTATCTCTAACCCTCTCTGCTGAAAGATCTAAGTTAGTTTACCAAGCTCCTCTGTGGACAGCTGATAGGTCCATTTAAGGAAAAGCATATTCTTTTCATTCCGAAGTTGAATCTGCAGCTTGAACAGTTGAATTCTTATCATTTCTTCTTTTTACTCATCTTTTGGTTTTGGTTTTAAATAAATCATGCTTTTCATTTCCTTTTTCTACACCCAGACAATTGAATCTTTTTTTAAAATGTGACAAACATTGGCTTCTGAATTTTTCCTGCACTTAAGTTTTGATTTGTTCTATTATGTTCTACAAATACTTGATTTCCTCATCTCTCCTTGAAATGAACTGTGAAAGTGATTATTTAGTTTTTCTTTTTTTTTTCTTTTTTGGTGTGTGACAGGGTTTCACTATGTACCTCAGGCTGGTCTTGGAACTATGTACCCCAAGCTGGCCTTGAACTTGAAATGATCTTCCTGCCTCAGTCTCCTGAGTGCTGGGATTACAAGCATGTACCACCATGCCTGCCCCATGCTAGTGTTTGAAATCATCCATTGTCTGTTTCTTCTCTTGTAAATACCAAAGTAGGTGCATCTCACTCTGCTTTTGATCTTCAATGATCTTTTTTGCTGTTTGACTTCCTCCCTGAGATTGCCTTTGATTATATTCAGTTGAGACCTCAGCTTCTAGTACTGTGACAGTATCTAGCATTTTAGGGTCAGCCACAGATGCCACTCTGTTCTGTTTCTCCCTCAGTCATTCCATTTCTTCTTGGATACAAGACTTCTTCCTCTCTTGCCTATGCTTTGCTGTAAAGTTTCATTTTCTTAAGGCTTGAGTATATTTATGAAATTCCTCTAGAAGCTCTGAACCTTGCCTAAATTTTAATTCTTCCCTCTCTGTCACAGTATCATTTTGATTCAACACATAAGGCTGCAATTTCAAGGCTCACATTCAAGTATTTGTTTCTCTTTTAGATGGCTCACTTCTTGTCTGATTAGTGAGAAAAAGCCATTGCCTGTCATTATCTACAGATGGTAATTGCTTAGGTCTTTAACTGTTTTCAAGTTCACTTTTTCAGTAGGTTCTACTTTTTCAGTTTGTAGAATCTGCACAGG